TGGATAAACAAATTGTGCTTTATTCATATGCTGGAATACAACATAGCAATCAAAAAGAATGAACTGCTGTAATATGCAAGGGCAGGGATGACTGTCCCAGACAGAATGTTGAGTGAAATAAGCCAGGCACAAGAGTAAACAGGGCTCCCTGGGTGGCAAAGTCAATTAAGCATCGACATTTGGTTTCAGCTCAGCTTCATGATCTCAAGGTCATGAGACGGAGCCCCACGTCAGGCTCTGCAATCAGCACAGCATCTGCTTAAGAGCCCCTCTCCCTTTCCTTCAGCCCCTCCCCGCTGCTCGCTTGTGCTCTCTCTGTAAAATAAATAAGTCATTTAAAAAAAAGAGTAAACATACTGTATGACTCAATTTATAAGAAGTTCAAAAAGAGGCAAAACTAATCTGTGATGGCAGAAGTAAGACTAGAAATTTCCTTTGGGGGATACTGACTTGGAGGGGCGCAAAAGGGCACTTCTGGGTGCTGGAAATGTTCTAGATCTTGATCTGGTTCATATACAGGTACAAACTTATTGATGTGTGTACTTGACAGTACGTGAGTTATACCCCCGCTAGAAAATGTAAACGACTAAACTTATGTGGAGTGTGAGTCTCTGTCAGAAGGTCAGAAGGCTTTCTGGAAGGATATTATGAAATGATTTTGCTGCTCCCTCTCTCCTGCTCTCATGTCCTCCCTCACCCCACTCCACAGCCTCTCTCTAAATAGGAACCTCTTGTTCCTCAACATTCCTTTATTCCACTCCTTTACTTCTTCATCGGAACCCCTTCTATCAGTCAGGCACTATTCTAGAAACTGAGGGTGCAACCTCTCAGCCCTCCTTTGTGCAATAAACAGGTATTTTAACATCTACTCTGGGGCCCCTCCTCAACCAGTATGGAGCATTTTCTCTCCAGCAGGTCCCAGTGGCAAAGAACAGGGCATAGAATATCTAAGATCCTGTCCAGTCTCCACCTATGGTTCAAGAAAGGAGAAAGGTGCCTACTATGTGCTGGGGTGCATTTATTCCTCTACAACACAGGTCACATAGCTGGAAGGCAGCATGGGTAGAGGGGTATGTCTGATTCCTACATCTCCGCCCTTCCCACCACTCCCATGGACCACCCCCCGCCCAGGAGCAAGGTCAACCTCGCCCTCTCTCTGGGCATCTATGTAGCTGGCCTCCAAGGTGGCCACCCCATTGATTCTTGCCTCCAAGTATTCATGTCTTTATATAGGTCCCTCCCACAGTCAATGAGGATGACCTATACAACCAATAGGATATTGTAAACATAACAGTGTTTGTCTTCCAAGGCGAGGACATAAAAGACATTGTGGCTACCACCTTGCTCTCTCTTGAATCATCCACCCTAAGGAAGCCAGCCACCATGTTGTGAGGACACTCAAGCAGATCTATGGAGAGTGCCATGTGGCAAGAAACTAGGACCTCCTTCCAACAGCCAGCACCAAGTTGCTAGCTACATGAATGAACCACCTTGGAAGCAGCTCCTCCAGCCCCAGTCAGGCCTTCAGATAACTACAGCCCCAGCTGACATCTTGACCGCCACCGCATGAGAGACCCCAGGCCAGAACCAGCCAGCCAAGCCACTCCCAAATTTCTGACCCATGGAAACTATATGAGATAATAAATGTTTGTTGCTGTTTTAAGCTACTAAATTTGGGGGTAGACTGTTACATCATATTGCTATATGTAAATAATATAGCCCCTCTCAGATCAGATCATGGGTTCATGCTGCAAGAACAGTCTGGAAGGTGGCATGTTAAGGTGTCCAGAACTATCCACTCACTAGAGGGATGATCAACGTGGGCTGAATCTGAGAGGACAGGAGAGAACACACATGCACAAGAAATCCCCAGTATGTGGGAAAAGAGCTGTGAAATAAGAAATCAAGCAAAGCAGAAATCTTGGCACCTTCTTCCCTAGAAATTTCTCACACACTCCATCTATCTCAGTAAGTGGAACCACGTGCACCCAGTGACTCTGGCCAAAAACCTGGGAGTCATCCTTGGGCCTATTCTCTCTCACACACCCAACATCTCATCCATCAGCCAAGTCCTGGGCTCTACCCCCATGATGTACCCCAGACCTGGCCCCTTCTCACTGCCTTTCCTGTGAGCACCATGGACTAAGCCACCAGCCTCCTTCACCTGGGCAACATCAGTAGCCTACTGGCCCATCTCCATAGCCTACCCTTGTGCCTGCTCAAGGCCAGAGTAGTCTTCTCAAAACAGATCAGATCATGTCCCATGTGCTCAAAACGCTCCAGGGCTCACCATTCTCCAGTGACATGGCCTTCTTTCAAGCATTTCATAAGCTCATCTCACCTGAGGGCCTTTGCACTTGCTCTTCCATCTTCCAGATCATCACGTAACATCAACATCTGGGTCTCACCTCATGCAATACTTCCTCTGAGAAGTTTTCCTGGGCCACGTTAGCCTAATCACTCTCTAACCCACTGCTTTAGCTCATTTCCTTCATAGCATGTTTACCTATTTATTGTCTGTCTCCCCCGGGAGAATGTCAATCCCATGAGGGCAAATGTCTTATCTGTCTTGTTTACCTAGAACACTGTCTGGCCCTTGGAAAGAGCTCAATAAGCATTTGTGTAATGAGCCCTGTCTAGAGGTAAGGGGATGGATGAGATGACCTCCAAGGTGATCTGGTTATAAAATCTAGAGGACAGAGCTCTGCTGTGTGGTGTGTCCTGGGGCTCACATTGCCCTTCCCAGCAGGAGGAAAAGACAGGGCAGTAGTAAGAGCTGTGGTTTTAGGGGAAAGACTTGCCAGCTGGGTGGAGCCCACACCACCACTGGTCCCATTTCCTATAGAGGAAAATCCTCTAAAAAAGCTCCTTCTGTCTGTCTGGCCGTGCCCTGCCAGTCCACCTCTACCCTCTGGGTTGTCCTCCGGGGCTAGGCAAAGCAGGATTTTGCCACAGCCTGGTGGATTCTAGGCCCCCAGCATTTCTAAGAATTGCCAGGCAGGCTATGCCCCCAGAAGTCATCTCTTTGGCATCCCTCTGTCATCCCACAGAGGCTGTTATATAATAAGAAACCCTCTTGGGTCACACCTCCGGACCTCCCACAGCCCCCATTCACCCAGACTTAGACCCTCCACGCCAGTATGTTCGTGCCCTTATCCTCTCTGAAGGCATCCGCTGCTGCAAGAGATGGAAAGCAAAAGGGGAGGGGTAGGCAAGGATTAAGGGACATCGGCAAGATGGGATATTTAGAAGGAAGCGCAAAGGCCCAGGGACAAAGACAGGGTGAGGAATTAGACCAGGAGCCCTTGGGAAAGTCATTCACTCAGTGCCTCAGTTCCCTTATTCGTAAAACAATGGGATCTTTCAGCCTACTTTATGCTGTGATGGAATTAAAAGAATAAAATCAGATAATGCACTGAAGTGCTTTCTAAAGCCTGAAGCGCTGTACAAACATTCATTGTTACTACGAGAAGCAGGTGCAGAAAGGAAGAGAGGAAGGGAGTAGACAGAGAAGGAGCGAGAAGACGCCGCCTCTGGGGTTAAGGGTGGAGAAGCTCCGCTCTGGATGAAGAGAACAAGGAGGGAGATGGAGGGAGAAGCAGGAACTCACTCGCCCCCACCCCTCACTCCCACCTGAAGGAGACAAGGCTGAGAGAGCCGGAAAAGCAGAAGGTGATGGGAGGGGCAGCAGCTGTCCAGGTGTGCCCATTGTGAGCCAGGCCCTTTGCACCTCTGCTAGGAGGACACTCCTACCTGGAGTTTACCGATGGGGAGATGCCCCCAGCAAGGCTGCGTACTTGGCTTGAGCACGGTCACCCGGAGGAAGTGGATTCCCTTGCAGATCTGTCTGCTCCATGAGCACCTTCTCCAGAATAATACTTGGCTCTTGGAGCTACCAACTGATAATAACCAATCACTACGTTTTTGAGCACCTACCTATGTCAGGCACTGTACTGGGCACTTGCACACACATTTTCCCATTTCATCTTCATAACAACCTTTTCTTATTCCCATCCCCTTGAGGATGAAACGGAGGCTCAGAGAGGTTACATGACTTGCCCAAAGTCATTCAGCAAATAAAGCAGCAGAGCATGAGATGCACCAGATACTGGGCCTCCACTGTTCAGTGCATCCTTTTGAAACCTCCTCCCCTCTTCTTCCATTCACTGAACTCCTTCTGGAAAGATCACGTGTGAACAGCAAAGGTGGGGTGAGAGGGCGAGGAGAAGGTGAGCCATCATGGGGTGGGGGCACAGACTGACAGGTAAGGCAGGGCATTTCCACCTCCAGAGGGCTGAGCCCATCTGACAGAACAGCTCCCCTACCAAATAAGCCATCATAATCCAGTACTCCAAGAAGCTGGCTCCTGATCCATCACTCCTCTGTCCAGGCCTGAGAGGATGCTGCAGGACTCCAGCCAGCCCTGCCAACCAGGACCCAGCAGCCCCTCTGGCCTTCTTGCTCAGTTTTCCTCTCACCAAGACCAGCCCTGAAACACTGATGGGGAAACTGAGGACCAAAGTGCCACCTGGCCAATAAAGAGAGTGGGATGGTCCTGCAGGAGGTTCCATGCCCAGGGAATCCCTGACCTCCGACTTCATCCCCACTTCCCCACCTATCCCGTTTTCCCGCCCTCAGGCCCCTTCAGCCGTTGCCCCCATCCCAAGTTTTTCCAGACTGCCCAAATTGGGCCAACCAGGGCTCTGCACGGCCCACGGGATAACTGAAATGCATCCCCCTCCTCCTCCATTCCCCCAACCAGCCCCCCTCCCCCAACTAAGGGAAATACCTTCAAAGACCCCTCCCTCGGAGCTCGGGTCCCGCCTGCCAACTTCAGGAGCTGCCCAGACCCCGCGCCGCGGCCCCCCACCCCCGGCCCTCGCCTTCACCTTGACCCGAGCCCGCTCCCGGGCCCCGAAGCTTTGCATAAACAAAGAGCGGGGCAGGGGACGACCCGGGCCCCGCCCCCGGCCCGCCGGCGCCCCCGCTCCCGTCCTGGACCCGAGCCGGTCGCGCCCCGAGCCCCCCGCGGAGCCAGCCGGCCCGCGGCCCCTTACCTTGGCCCGGCATTTCGGATGACAGGAAAAACTGCAGACTGCGAGAGGGCGACACAGAAAGAAAGTTTAGCCGCGAGGTATGGAATGGAAACTCGGGCGAAATCTCCTCCCACCCCCGCCCGCACTCCGCGCTCGGGAGGGAAGGAGGGAAGTAGGGAAGGAGGGAAGGAGGGACGGAGGAACGGAGGGAGGAGGGGGCGAAGGGGGGCGGCTGCCGCAGCTCCCCGGGGCCTGCGGGGCGGGAACGCCCGGGACTGGGGACCCGCGGGTCGGGGAGGCGCCGAGCCCTGATTGCCCGAGCCCCTGGGACGGGCGCGGGAAGGTGGGGGGGGCAGGGGGAGGGGCGGGGGGGACCGACTCCCCCGCTGGATCCTTGCCAGGGGCAGAGGGACCCAGGCCGCGTGGCAGCCGCGCCAAGGAATGGGGTGGAGGGGGCTTCTCCCCTTACATACACACCAGGCAGGCAGGCAGCCGGCACCCCAGGAACCATGATCACGCTCCCTCTCCCCCAGAGAGAGACACACAGACCCGATTTACCGTCCAGGAGAGGGCCGGTACACACACACATACACATTTACACCCATACACACACACACTCGCCAATAACCACTATCCGCATTCACTCGGCCAGACAAGCACACATACACATATAAATACACACAGAGCCTCGCACACATTCACACTTATGCCCGAGGGAAACCTCTGACTCAGGGGCACCAACACACACACTTTCACAGGACACCCTCAGAGTACAGCCTGACACAGACGTTGGACACAGACACATGGATAGATGTTTACACAGGCTCACAAACTTCTTGTGCATCATTTGAAACTCACACACACACACACACACACACACAGCAGACTTAAATCTGCCCTCCCACTACCAGAAGCTGGAATCAAATTTCCTATGGGGTTCCCTCAGTCTGGAATGTCCCAGCCCTGCCTGCCCCACCCCCAGGGCCCTCCACCCTGGGATTTGGTGGTCCCCTCCCACCAGGTCCCACAGATGCGGTGAGGGGGTCTACTGAGCTGAGCTTCTGCACTGACTTGACCTTGTTAGCTGCTGAGACAGGTGGGTTAGGGGCACTGGTTAGAGAACAGGGGTCAGGGAGGCAGGGGAGAGCTGCCCCAACCCCAAAGCCTTGGCAAGCCACAGCCCTGGGCCACAGCCAGCTGCACTGGCCTCTTGGATCTACAGTTCATCCAACCCCTTTCTGGCTTTGAGTCAACCTGATTCTCAGCAGAATGCAAAAGGGGAGACTGAGGCGCAGATGAAGGCCCAGAGCTGCAAAAGAGGGCTCTCCATACTAAGGCTTCTGATTGGTCTGTAGGAATGGAAGTCTGAGTTGCGACCTTGGCCATCGGCCCTGCCTGGGACCTTGTTCTCCCAGAACCTTGTCCTGGCCCCAGCTCAGACCTGTGACTCAGCTGTTGCTAAGCAAGGCTTTTCTGACCCCACCAGCCACCCAGGCCAGCTCAGGGACTTCTCCACCCCTGGCCACACCAAGACATACCCACCCCTGACCACTCGAGTCAAGTCATGCCCATCTGTCTAGACTTTCTGCTTCTCTCTCACCCCACCCCGCCCCCACTACCCCAGGATGGCAACTCCCCTCCAGACACCCCAACCCCACCCCCATGCCTTCTTTCCTGGCCTTGGAATGTGGAATTGAGAAAGCTTCAGGCCATGTGGCCTGAGCTTGGAAGGCCATTCCAGCCAGGCAGGCGTCCCACTGTGCCACTACCTCCAAACAGAAGGACCTTTCCCCTTCCTCTGCTAATCAAATCCCAAGCCTTCAGGAGCAAGTCCCGGGCCTCTCCTCTGGAGGCTTCCCTCACTGTTCCCTACCTCCTCGCAGGTATCACCGCACAGAGCACGTTTCCCCCACCACCTTGGTCCCTACAGCTATGGGCTCCTTCAAAGGAAGGACCTCTCTCTCCTTCTCTCTCTCTCTTTCTCTCACTACACAATACCTGGTACCTGGTACATACAGTAGAAGCTTAATAAATGATTGAGGAGTTGGACCTGACTGAAGATCTCCCCTGGAGTTTATGTGTACCCCCCATTTAATCATTCCCACCCCACTCTCAGCCTTTCCCTGAGCCATACCCTGCCCCCAACATTTCATAATCCATCAAAAAGGCATTCCCTAAGTGTCCACTCTGGGCCTCCCAACCCCAGTCAAGATACCAACAGCACAATGACAGCCAGGACCCCATCTCCCTCAAGTATCGTACTGCATACTTCTGACAGGTCACAGAATGCACCAAATCCTTTCCTACCTCAGGGCCTTTGCACTTGCTGTTCTGGCTGCCTGGACCATTCTCCCTCACCCTAGCTGTCCATTGCTCACCAAGCCAAATCCTTCTACTACTAGAATCCACTGAAAGCCATCTATCTCCTCAAAGAGGCTTTTCCTGACCACCCAAATGACATTAGGCACCTCCAATATTCTTTCTCAGCAGCACCCTGATAATTTCCTTCTTAATACAGTTCGCAGTCTGAAGTCAACATGGGTAATTCCTGCTCACTTATGAATAGTATATCTCCCTACACTAGACCCATGAAGGCAGGGAGCATGCCTGTCTCATTCACACAAATCCCCAGTAGTGAGAACAGTTTCTGATCCAGACCTCCAACACCAAACAGCAGCTTTGTGCAAATTAGAAAATGTCTTACCCTTTGGGCAGACCAGCCCCTTGGCCACACAGCTGAATACAGCGTCTTTGTGGAAATGGCAAGAAGGTGCCCTTTCTCCAGGCGGACCCAGCTCTGTACCTGGGTGCATGGTTTGGAGAGCAAAGCGTGGCCGCTTCCAGTGCTCTCTCGGGGAGGCGCCCTTGGCAGCAAACGGCCTGCCTGACCATACAGGGCAGCCCTGCCCGTCACACAGTGGGCAGACATCCAACAAATGCCCCTGGATGGAGGGCATTGGCAACAGCAATACAGCGAGCTGAGGGCTCCGTGTGTGCTGGAATGCTGAGCGTGCCCTTGAGAGCTCTCCAGTGGGGAGCAGACGAAGCCGGCCCCTGGCCCCCAGCCCAGAAGACAAAAGCTCGGCAAAGTCCGCTCAAGTGGCAGGTTCCCAGCAGCTCCGCTGGTGGATTGTTACACCTTAGGAGCACCTGCGCCCAGCCCCAGGGAGGCCCTCTTGCGCTGAGGGCCCCATCCCTCCAGGGATGGGGCCCTCACAGTCTGGCCACCCTTCTCCAGTCTCCCCCAGGGGGCAGTATTTCCTACTCTAACTGGCCGGCCCCCTACTGTCATGTGAAACTTGGGCATGCCACTCTGCAGGCTTCCCACTTCCCAGATGCATGGCACGTTCAAATGTGCTCCAGAAAGGGGAACTGTGGCAGCCAATGTTTCCTGCCTCCTGGATGCACACCTTCCTGTCATCCATTCCCACGGTGAATAGGGCTGGCTTACGTGGCCCACTGAATATTGTAGAACTGCTGGTGTGTGACTCCTGAGACTCAGTCATCAAAGGCATTGTGGCTTCAGCCCCAGTCTCTTGGATCACTGGCTCTGGGGGAAGCCAGTTACCACGTCGTGAGGACACCCAAGCAGCGCTATAGAGAGGGCCATGTGACGAATAGCTGAGGCCCCCTGCCACCAGCCAGCACCAACTTGGCAGATGCATGACCGAACCACCTTGCAAGTGGATCCTCCGGTCCCTGTCAGGCCCTCTGATGACGATGACCCCAGCTGACGTCTTCACTACGACTCACGGGAAACCCGGGGTCCAAACCACCCAGTGAAGCCACACGTGAAACCCTGACCCTCAGAAACAACATGAGATCATAATTTCATATCTGTTGTAAATTGCTAAGTTTGGGGACAAATTTGTTATGTAGCTACAGATAACCAACACAGAAACCAGAGCCCAGGATCCCACAGAAAGCAAGAGGCTAAAGGCTGATGCTGGGCGCTGAGGCCAGAGGCCATCTCCTCGGTCCTTCCTTGCTCCCTGGGTACAGGCATGCTCGTCTCTGGAATTCCTTCTTCCCTTTCCTTCCCCTACCAAGCAATTAGTCATCCTGTCCCAGAAAGTAACTCCAAAGAGGCTGTCAAATCTCCCCCTTCCTGCCAGCCCCCCACCACTGCACCAGTTCAGACCAATTATCCTTCCCTGGGCCCTGTCTCCCCTCCAGCCTTGCTCCCCCTTTAATCCAGAGCCACAGACCATTCTCAAGTGCAAACTGATCACATTACACTCCTGCTTAGAACTGTCTTGTCCAACTCCTCAGCACGCTTACAAGGCCCTGCTTGGCCTGGTCTTGCCCCCACCTCCAGCCACTGCCCCAAAAGAGATCTGCCACACTGAACTCCCCAAAAGGACATTGAATCTGGTAGGTCTGAAATGGTGAACTCATACACATCCTCCAAGGCCCATTTCAAAATGCCCCTCCCTGAATAATCAGGCATTCAAAGATGATCACTCCCTGCTCTGTGCTCCCACTGAGGTCCTGTTCAACCTGGCATCTTTGTATCCTGCCCCTTCTCCAGGCACAGGGTCTGACTTACAGATGGGGCTGAACAAATGTGGCATAAATTTAAAACTGGAAGAATTCTTCCCAGCCTAAACCACTGGGACCGCAGCTGATGTTCTGGGGCAATGGAAAGGACACAAGAGAGGGTGGGTGAGCTCCACTTTTCAGCCCCAGCCCCTGCTGGGAGAGGGCCAATGTGGACCATGGTCAGTGCCTTCTGAGTGCCTCAGTACAAACACCACCTATTACCCAGCCTGGTCCTGCTCTCCATCTACCCGCTTACCTCCCTGGCCACACAGAGACTGGCTCTCAGCTCAGATGCCGGTCATGCTCTGTGATCCGGGACCAGTTATGTAGCCACTCTGAGCCTCCATTTCCTCATCTATAAAATGGGCGCAATAGTAACACCTCCTTCCCAGGGTTGTGAGAGTTGACTGACTTCATATATGTGGCTGGCCCTGAGCATGCTCTGTAGAAAGCTGTAGCTGGTATCAGCATCGTCTGATTCTGTATTACTGGTATTCTACCGGAGAACCCCCATCTCCTGGTCAGGAGACCGGGTTCTAGTCCTGAGTGCCATCATACAGCTGTGTGACCTGAAGCAAGTCGTTCCCACTCTCTGCTCCCCATCACGCCCCACTGACTCACTCATTTGCCTGCATCAGCCCTGAGCCCCGGAACAGATGGTCCTCAAGCCCTCTCCCGGCTGTGAGAGCCTGTGGCACCCCACTGGTCTCTCCACCGGTCACCACCTGCCTCTTCCTCCCTCCGACAAAGAAAGGAGGGGAGGCCCAGGTTCCAACCTTGAACGCATCCTGGACACTGGGGGGGAAACACCCAGCTTGCGGTTGACAGGGATGTCCACTCCACAAGGTACAGCTCCTCATCATGGGGGGACATGGGCAGGAAAACATCAGCCGTCCCATCCTCCTGGGCTGTGCGCTTGAGTCCTCCCCAGACACACATCCCAGGATCCACCCCACCTGAGCGGACCGTGGCCTGCCCCAGCTCCCACAGAAGGCAGTGGCCTCGTAAGCCAGTGACCCTGCAAGATGAAGCCCCCCTGGGGAGGGACCCTGCCAAACCAAAGCTCAATGGAGCCCCAGGAGCCTCATCTCTGCCCATGGGTGTCAACATGGCCCCCCACCCAGCAGGGCCCAGCCCGTGGTGGAGCTAAGAACCCCATAGTGTGGCGGGGTCCATAGATTACCTGCTGGGGTAGAAAACTGCACCCCCAACCCCAGCCCTGAGCCAGCTCCCGCCTCATTGGGCTGCTGGGATTCTATCCTGAGGTGGCTTCCTGCCCTCCCGGGAACACAGGAAGCTAACATTGTTGGGATCTAAATGGCCTTTTCCTCCTGGCCTCGGCTCGGAAAATGAGCACATAGCCTCGGTGTGCACCTGACCCCAGCAGGAACCGCCCACACCCGCAGTGGGCCTCAGCTCCTCTCCCCAGCTGGCAGACAGACTGGCCCAGCCACCCACCTGCCCGCACCACCTCATGGCCCTTCCCTGCCCTGCTTATCTCCATGGCCTGGCTTGGAGGTGTGTGATGGTTTATATTATGTGTCAGCTCAGGTAGACTATCTATCATACCCAGATAGTTGTTCAACATGATTCTAGATGTTTCTGTGAAGGGGTTTTGGGGGATAAGATTAACATTTAAATCAACAGACTTGAGTAAAGCACGTTAACTTCCATAATGTGGGTGGGCCTCATCCAATCAGTTGCAGGCCTGAATAAAACAAAGACTGATCTCCCCAAGCAAGAAGGGACTCTGCCAGCAGACTGGTTTTGAACTTGAACTGCAACTCTTCCCTGGGTCTGCAGCCTGACAACAGATTTTGGACTTGCCAAACCTCTATAATTGTATGAGCCAATTCCTTAAAATAAATTATCTATCCATTCATCAACTACCTACCGACCTATCTATCCATCCATCCATACATCCTGTTGGTTCTGTTTCTCTGGGGTACCTCAAGTAACACAAGGTAACTCAGGGGATGGCCCGGGGTTGTGGGCGCTGTGTGGCTCTGAAGTTCAAGCAAGAGGAAACCTTCTAGATGTTCCTATCCAATGGTTTTCAAACTTTCATGCAGATGGACTCTTATGTGGAACCTCAGTGATCTTGGTTAACTTTTACTAAAAGCTTGTTCTATGCCCTTTATGTATACATATTATCTCATTTAACCCCCAAAGAAACCTGAGGAGGGAGGTGTGCTATGTGTCTCATTTTAAAGGAAAGGTGCCTGAGGCTCGTACAGGCGACACACTCTGCTCAAGTTCTTACTAGTAAGGGGCAGAGCTGGGATAGAAATCTGGAACGTCGGGGCTAAGTGCAAGACCACCATCCACCCTACCTCCTGATATATTTAACTCCTAAAACCAGAACTGTTCTGATTAAAGTGGGCAAGGCTTCCAGCGTCCCAACCCCTCAAGCATTTCCCCTTAGGTTTCTTCTTTTTCCTACCTTCTCAGGCCCCTGTATCACCTCCAGAAAAACCTTACAGTTCCTCTGGATGACAGTTTAGAGCCTCTGATCTTAGTCCAATCCGTCCTTTAGAGAAATGGGAAAGCCAGGCTCAGAGAGGTTAAGTTTCTCACCCAAGCTCACACAGCTGGGCCATGGCAAGCCAGCACTAGAACGTAGGGTCTTCCCACTCTACTAGGCTGACTCCAAAAAGGTCCTCAGACAGAGGGTAGAAGCTGGGATCCCCAGTGAAGTAACAGAGGACAAAGAGCTCCCTGAAACAAGGTTTCCCCAGATTCAACCAGTAAGGGCTTCTGGGTAGTTTTGTCCCATTGAGAGCCTAATTCTCTTTCCCAAGTGCATCCCACTCTGGGGAAACTGCAGGTGACCTCCCTACCCTCCAGGCTGATCAGAGGCATTGAGAAGGGAAGTAGTCTAAGCCTAGCCCCCAAATCCAGACCCAGATGGCAGCCCTCGGGCTCTTGATCTGGCATTCTGGTTTTTTCCCTCGGGTTTCAGTGTAGCAGAAGGCTAGGGCCCTTTGGCAAAGCTCTAGACTCCCTAGAGCTCCACCCAAAGAATCTGTGGGAAGCCCACTGTTTGAACGAAGGAACTCTTACACACCCCTCAAGACCCAGACTACATAGGCCTTCCCTGATGAAGCCTGACAGGAAAATCTCTGCTCAGTCAGAGATGACCTTTCACACACACCTCTGTGTCAGCTTTGCCACCATGTTCTATGACTGTCTGATGGTATGTCTGTCTTCCCAGGTCAGGGGCTGGATCTTGGCAGCAGTACCTGGCACCGCATCCAGCCCAGAGGGGGCTCAGTTCACGATCATCAGATGGATGCACGTGTGTATGCAGGAGGTGAAGGGGCAGCCTCCACTGGTCGAGTTATCAAGCCTTTACAGATTCCAACAAGGGAGTTTTCCAGACCCCCCCCCCCCGCACCCACGTCTGGGCCTCAGTGAGCATTCCTGGTCCAGCCCCTCCTCCAAAGTTGAGAAAACTGAGTCCTGAGCGGAGATATGATTTATCTGAGGTCACACAGCCTGTGGGTGGCAGGGCCAGAGATAGGACCCCTAACAAAGGCCCGGGGCCTCCTCTCCCCCCACTGTCTCATCCGTCCGTCTCCCCCACACGGAGCCTTAGTCCCTAACACTAGTGTTTGTGTTATAGCCACACACAGAAACTCCGTGTTCCTCACAGTCACCACCCCCCCAGGGACGCAGGACAGGGTTTATTGTTAACTGCATGGGGCACAGGAGGAGACAGGCTCAGCGAAGGAGAAGACTGGTAGCTGTCTCACAGGACCTCTTGGCCTGTTTATCAGTCACACTTACACCTGAATGTCCCGCCACCTTAGTTCATTGTCTGCACGGTCCATCTATGAGTCTCCCAGACCAGGCCCTGGGCTCTTTGACTCTTCTCCCCACCCCTGTCTCCCACCCTGCCCCTCCAGCCACATTACATTAAACAGTGAAATGCGGGAAGGCGGGGAGCAGAAAATTGTCCGAGCTACAGAGCAGGTCAGACGGAGGGAGAAAGACAAGTGGCCCAGTTTCTCTAGATCTAGGAAAGTGTCCTCACCGCCCCTGCCTGCAGGAATTCCCTCAGCACTGCAAGCCCCGTGGAGACTGAATTCACAGCCTTGATGTTCCATACACCCTGCCCCCCTACCCCCCAGCCACAAATCCAGAGGGTATCCATGCTGTAACCCCAGACTTGAAGCCTGTTAAAGGAACCAGAGAGCACAGCAAACCCTGGGCTTGGCGAACAAAATATGACCTGGATTTTAGTCCACAATCACCCCCTTCGCCAGGGAGCAATAACCCATACCTGGTGGCCCTGGATGGATGGATGGATGGATGGATGGATAAGGGCATTTTTCCATCTCGTGTCACCTCCTGGTTCCAAAGCACAGAGAGTTGGCTCATTGCTGCATCTCCCACCAGTAAGCCCAGTGGCCCCAACCCTGACCTCAGGCCTGGTGACCCCGACGATCTTGCTGAGAAGGCACACCATAGCCTATAGAGCTGGGAGTCTTCAATCCTCCCTTGCTGCCCCCCTCCACCTGCCCCAGCCCTTCCATGGCCCAGTCCTGACACCTAGTGGTGCCTTTGGACTTCAGTCCTGGCTTTCTTCCCACTTCTCAATAATTCATTCAGAGCTGCCAAACCAGCCCGACAGCCCACTGGCCACATGACCTCCACTCTGGTTCACACCGGCAGGGCCAGGCTCTGAACCAGGGAAAACCCGTGTCTCACCTTGGGAGCCTTCCATTCCCAGGAGGTCACATCCCCTCCTCAACCCAGGCCCTCAAGCCAGGTCAACTGGGGAACCCAGGACCACAGACCATCACAGAACATGTGGCCAAAGATGTGCCCAAGGTCACACAGTGAGTGCTGGGACTTCCTTCTACCCCACCCCTGTGCTGCCTCTGGTGGTTACTGGGGTGAAGGGAAGGCACACTGGGGAAGGAAGGGAGGCACTGGGGGAAGACTCAGGGGCTAACTTCAGCAGGTTCATGGGGCAGGGGCAGGTGGGGCGGTGACCCTGCGCCCAGCAATTCGGGCCTGACTCCTCCCAGCTCTCACCCTGACCCACCACCCGTCCCAGCCAGACCTCTTGGGAGGAGCGTGACACCATGTGGTGGATATGGGTACTGCAGAAGTCCCTGTTGGCCGCCTAAACTCCGTCTGGGTATCCCAGCTCTTCAGTGAAGGACAATTAACCTCTACCCTTTGTCCAGAGCAGGACGTGCCTAGAATATCCTCCACACGCACATTCGACACACTCACACGCTCCCATCCACACCCACTCCCCACTCCATCATGCCGCTGAAAGTCCTTGTCTAGGAAGACTTCCCTCCCCCAGAGAGCACACCCCCTGACAGCCCCACTGGGACCCAGCCAGCTGTGTGCCTTAGCAAGAGTCTTAACGACTCTGCGCCCCAGTTTCCTCCTTTCCTCCTCTGTAAAGCGAGGGTGACACAGGCCGCCCCCCCCCCCCCCCCCCGCCATGCTGTGAGCACTGCAGGAGAGCCATGTGAGTGCTTTGATGATTACTCCCTAGGCTGTCTTCCCAGACCCACTGAGACTTCGGCAGGGGAGAGGGGAGGAGAGTGAAGTCCAGGTAGAGCCACGTGAGCCAAGGCCCAGGGCAACAGAGAGCCCGGCCCCTTTGGCATGTTTGACACGCTTGGCCTACTCGAGAGCCGAGCCGGGTGCAGCCGGGCTGAGTATGGACTTGGGGACAGGGGTAGATGGGTCAGAGAGCTGGCAAGGGGTGGAGGCTGGGCCTCGCAGCCACAGGAAGGGGCGGTGCTCTGTCTTGAGGGCAGGGGCACTCCCAAGGCTGTACCCAGGGAACGGCCGAACTAGGTGTGCATGGAGTCCCGCTGGGAGCTGGTGAGACGGTGGATCGGAGGGGGTGGGTCAGGAGGAAAAGGATCTACAGTCAGCCCTCCAGGCGAGAGGACCCAGCAGCCTGAATAGGCTATGGAGAAGCTCAGGGACTCAAACTATATTGGGGGGCCCTGGCGATTGACGGGACGTGGCGGGGGAGAGGAAGGCATCTGGTGGGACAGCTGGGTGGGGAGATGATGTCAGCCACCAAGATTAGGCGCAGGGGCCTCCTGCTGATTTTACTGTGTGACCTGGGCCAAGACACCGACTTCTCTGGCATCAGGGACAGCCGAACCCCAGGCCGGGTGAGAAGCACACGAGAATAGTGATTGAAAAAGCCCAGCAGCCGCCAGGCCCTCCCTCCAGTCTGACCTGGGGCCTCTTAAACTCACCCCTAAATGTGGTGTCTTTCCCAGTGCCAGTCACACGCCACCCACACACCTTCCGCGTGCCCTCCACATGCCAATCACAGGACCTCCACGTGTCATCCACGTGACCGCCACACAGCACCCACTCACCTTCCACATGCCCCATCCACATGCCAACTACATGACATCCACGGGCCAGCACGCCCCACTCATGCACCCTCCACACGCCACACACACGCTCAGTACATGCCAACCACAGACCATCCACACACCACAAACCACTAGCCGTACACCTTCCACATGCCATCCGCATGCCTTCTTCATATCATCCACACACAAGCTACATGCCATCTCCATGCCACCCACCACCTGTCATCATGTACCATCCATACACACCCACGAGCTTGCCATCTGGTGTGCTCAGCATCGACCCCCACGTGAGAACCTGGCCCCAGGCCAGGACCCCAAGGACATCCGCCCAGGTCCCAGGCCACCTCCTTCCCACCATGACGTGCTCCCCATCTCCCGTAGCCTGACCATCTACTCACCTTTGCAGGTGCAGCCCTCCCGGGTGATGACCTGACGGCAGATACCACAGGGCTTCACCTTCTTGAAGGTCTTCACCTTGAAGTGGTGAGTCTTGGGGGCCTCCAGATCCTCTGGCTGTTGGGGGCAGAGGCACAGTGATCAGGCCTGGGCAGAAGGCTGGGGAAGGAGCTGGGGGGACTCGGGGAGAAGTGGGCCAGGACTGGGGAAAACGAGAGGTGAGAGCCCCTTCAGGGGTGACAGGCCTGAGCCCCCATTTCTGGGAGGAGGTGCCCCAGGAAAGAGAGCTGAGTGTGACCCAGACTCTGACACTTAGGTGGGTCAGCACACTGGGACACTGATTTTAAATGGCTTACTCAATAACAATTTTACACACATACACCATGTTACCACACCCCAGAGGGCTCTCCCATGGCCATCCCAGTCAATATCCCCCTAAGGTAAATACTATTGTGACTTTTTTTTTTTTTAAGATTTTATTTATTTATTTTATTTATGGGGGTTTCGAGAGGGGGAGGGGCAAAGGGAGAGAAAGAGAGAGAGAGAATCCCAAGCAGACCGCGCTGAGCACAGAGCTCGATGCAGGGCTCAATCTCAATCCCTGGGCCGAAATCAAAAGTTAGACACGGGGCGCCTGGGTGGGCTCAGTCGGTTAAGCATCTGCCTTCAGCTCAGGTCATAATCTCGGGGTCCTGGGATCGAGCCCCACATCGGGCTCTCTGCTGAGCAGGGAGTCTGCTCCTCCTTCTCATTCTCCCTCTGTGCTCTCTCTCTCTCTCTCTCTCTCTCAAATAAATAAATAAAATCTCTTTAAAAAAAAAAAAGGCAAATGCTTAACCAACTGAGCCACCCAGGCACCCCAATACTATTGTGACTTCTATCAGCAAAGATTCATCTTGCCAGAGTCTGAAATTTAACTGAGCAGGCTGTACCCCTGCGTCCGGCTTCTGTCGCCCGGGGTTCATCCGTGGGATTCATCCACACGGCTGCCCGGAGAGCTGCTCTTTCTTTTCGCTGTGTGTGGTAGCCCATGTGTGAAAGTAGCTGCTTCCTTTATCCGTTCTACTGGTGATAGTCCTTAGCCTTTTTACCCACGTGCCCCCCATTCCCCCTCACCCCCTCGCTACCACCTCCAGCCCCAGCCCAGAAGCCTTCTGCCATTTTATTTTTATTTTATTTATTAATATAAATATTAGTATTTATAAATAAATATTTATTTATTTACAATGACATCACTTTGCATTATGAAAATATTGGTCTGTTAAATCTCCTTTTTAAAACTATGGGGCGCCTGGGTGGCTCAGTCGTTAAGCGTCTGCCTTCAGCTCAGGTCATGATCCCGGGGTCCTGGGTTCGAGCCCCGCATCGGGCTCCCTGCTCAGCGGGGAGCCTGCTTCTCCCTCTCCCTCTGCTGTTCCCCCTGCTTGTGTTCCCTCTCTCGTTGTGTCTCTCTCTGTCAAACAAATAAATAAAATCTTTAAAAAAAAATTTTTTTAATAAAAATAAATAAATAATAAATAAATAAAACTAGCTCACCACACACATGAGATGAGAGGCGGGCGGGCGGTCCAAGCCTTCTCTGGGTCTGACCGGGCCAGTCACCGCCCACCGCTACCACAGGCCTCGGTTTCCCACTCTGGACAGCGCAAGGTTGGGCCCCACACCCTCAAGCCCCGACAGTCTGTCCTTGGTAACCACATACAGGAATGCACTCTAAGCCGCAAAGCCCTGCCCCCACACGGCTTAGAACCCCCTCCTCCCATCTGCGGCCCTCAGCCCAGGCACAGGCTGGGGGAGCTCCCCGTTTGGAGGACACCCCAGGAAGCTGTCCCTGCTCAAAGGCACCACGCCTCTCCAAGGTACTTCACCGTGGCGTCCAACCGGATTCATTTCCCGGCTTCGGCAGCAGGGGCCAGCAGAGTGCAGACATTGGCCACTCCCTCGCTCTCTCCCTCTCGCAGGCACAGAGCTTCCTGACCCCCCTCTACACACATAGCCACACACAGAGCCACAGCTGATGACAGACCCTGCCGTTCCAGGGGAGGGTTCTTCTCTTCCAAGTGTCCCTCCTTGGACCCTTCTCCAGAGTCTCTGGGACAGGGGCTGGAGGGGGCGACTTGTGTGTTCAGAGGAGGAAGGGAGGCAGCCTCCCACAAACCCAGCATGTCCAGGACTCCTCTCGGAAGACACTACAGTGGTCTGGGGCAGAGAGAGGCTGAACCACAAGAGACACAGAGAGAAAAACCGACAGAATGAGAGAGAGACAGAAAGCCAGAGAGACAAAGAGGCAAAGAGATAGAGAGGGAGAGATAGACAGAGAGACAGAACAGAAAGAATCAGAGAGACAGACACTGATAAAGACAGAGAGACAGAGAAAGAGGGAGAAAAGCAACAGAGTCAGAGAGGAAGAAAAGAAGACCCAGATAAGGCAGAGGCAAATAAAGGCAGAGACGAACCAGCACACACAGAGAATAAGCGAAATTAGACAGAAGCACACAGAGACTATAAAGGCAACCAGAGAATCAAAGGGGCAGACAGACAAAAGGACAGAGGCGCCAGCTCGAATGGGTCCCCAAAGGCTAAACCTGGGCAGATTTGAGCATCATAATACGGAATGATAGTAGTGGCTTAAATTAGTCCAGGCCAATATGTGAACTAAGTGAAAAAATTCAAAGTGTGATGAGAAAGAGAAGATTCACAAATCTCAAAGCACCTCGCCATGCCACACTTCTAAATTACAAAAGGGAAAAAAGTAACTTTGCCTGGCAGACTACTCGTTAATCAAGGGATCAAAGCAAACACGACCAGTAATGCGATGAATGGAAATTGTGCACCACAGAGGGGATGCTTGGAGAACAGGACACCACGTCTGCCATGTTCCTGCCAAAGAGACACAAGCTGAATCTAATCATGAGGAAACATCAGACCAACCCAAATCAAGGCACAGTCTACTAATTAAATGGCTTGTGATCATCAAAAGTGACAAGGTCACAGAAGCCAAGGAAAGACTGAGATTTCCAGACCAATGGAGTCTAAAGAGATACAACAGTCAAATGCAGGGGCTGACTTGGAACTGGATTCTTCCCGTGACCATAAAGGACATCATCGGGACAACTGGCCGCACCTCAGTGGGGTCTGAGGACAAGACGGTAGCCATGTGTCAATGTCAGGCCCCTGACTTTGATGGCTGGGTTGGGTTAGGTAGGAGAAAGTCCTCGTAGGAAAATTAGGAAAGCATGTAGGGGTGGTAGGGCACTGTGTCAGCAACTCGCTCGCAAACAGCTCAGGAAAACAAGTTCTTTGCACTGTATTTGCGACATTTCTGAAGTCTGAGACTGGCTCAAAATTCAAAGAGACAGGCAGACAGAGATGACAGGGAGGCAGGACAGAGCAGAGACAAAGCCCAGGGCAGAGGTGGAGAGAGCAGAGGGCCATTGAGCCGGGAGCCCAGCACTGCCCCCTGGTGGCTAAACCAGGCAGCATGGCCTGGGTCCTGCTAGTCCAGTGTTGTGTTCTAAGAGCTGTGCTTCCAGCTTCCACTGAGGGTGGGGGCAGGGTCCAGGGCAGGGCCGGGGCAGGGCCGGGGCAGGGCCGGGGCAGGGCACTGTCCTGCACTAGACCTCACTCAGTGTCCCCCAGCCTACCAGGAGAGGCAGGTGAGCCCCCTCCATTCTGAAGTCTCACCTCCCCTGTTTGCCCTTCTCAGCCCCTGGCAGGGCAGCCTTCCAGATAATCTCTGTCATAGACATTCCAGGGAGGGGGCCCAGCCCAAAGTCAACTGCAGCAGCCCAGGCCTGGGCTGGGGGGAGGTGCAGGAAGGGGACTTGGGGTTCAATTTAAGGCCTGTCTGGGGAGGCGGGCAGGAAGCCCTAAAGCCCAAACTTCTCAGGCCTACTCCAGCCACTCCCCAAGCCTGCCTCTCCCACCCTGTGGAGTGAAGCTGAGCTTCCCATTCCAGCTTATCCCCTAGACTTCTCCGTCTATACCCCAAATCCAGCTCTTCACCCAAAGCCCAGGGAAGGTGGCCTTCTCCCCAAAGTATAGTTGGAACAGCGGAATCTCCCAAAAGAGGCTCCTGGCTGCCCAGTGAACAGATGGGGAGGAGGCAGAGCCTTCTAGGCTGACAAGCAAACGCCCAGGCTTCTCCCCTGGGCCCTGGGCTTGCCTGCCCTGCCTGCCCAAACTCATAAATGTGAGTTTACAAACTCTCTCCCCGCACGGCGTGGGGAGCAGGAACAGGGTTTTAGATACATTCTCTGGCCTCACTCATGGCCTCTGTAAGCAGCTTATGGGCCAAGGCCCTGCCCTTCCCCCCACCTCATTCTGGCTCTCTGGCTGAAGGAGCACTGGGATGGGAGTCTAGAGACCAGCTCTCTAGGTTGGTGACCCTGAGAACACCAGTGGCCTTCTCTGGGCCTCACAGTTCCCAAATGAAAATGATGGGTTTGGACAAGATAGTCTGAGTATAGAAAGAGCAGGGGAACCAATGGGCCAGTTTGAGATGAAAGGGCTGGAGGAACTGGGGGGTGGGACATGCTCATGGTTACAGAGGGGGGTGCTTCATGAAATATCACCCCTCCAAGAGAGGCTGGGGGACCCACGTGGGAGCGAGGAGGCCAGCACCCCCAGGCAAGTGGCCCTAGGCTGTGACCTCCTCTGCAACATAGGCTTGCCCGGCTATAAAACGGGTATCTGGCAATGTTGTTGAAAGAGTCACCCACAGAGGTCTGAAGGTCCCAGTTTGCAGGAGGAGAAAGTCTAGGGTGGGTGAGCCTTAGATCTTCAAATATCTTGAGGGGCTATCATTGTAAGAATGGACCAGACATCTATGAAGTTACTGAATGCAAAACAAAACTCTGGGGGCAGAAGCCACAAGGATGCATGATTAGACGCAAGGGGGTACAAGAGTTTCCCATCGACCAACCATAGGTTAAATTCCAGAAGAAGAAGAAACCTGGGGGTCTAGAACCTACACTGCCCTCACCCAGGGTTACTCTGCAGGTATGGGCGGAGAATATGAACAAGCCCATGAATGCAAACTCTGCTCGGGGGTAACCACTTGTTATGACAATGCTCATCATTTTTCCTGACAAGTGCCAGACAGCCTCACAAAGCACTCCCCCACTCTTCCTAGCTGGATTAGCTCCTGGAGGACCTGGGGGCCCCGGGGGGGGGGGGGGCGCGAGGAGGCACAGCCATAGCGGGAGCTACCTGGTGTCTCCAACACCCTCCTCCCTCAAGAGCCAGAGTCCAGAGAAGGGAAGAGGTCCTAGCCAGGAAGTCATTCCTCCCCACCCTCCAAGCCCAGAGCCCGAGCCCTGTGACAAGCCCACCCACCCAGCATCAGAGGGCTTTCCTGGGCCTCAGGGATCCTCTCCTTCCCACCCTCCATTCAGCCAAGCCTGGCTGCCAGATAGTTCCAGCCAGAGGGGCGTGGCACATCTGGCTGGGACAGCTTTGGCGGGAGTCCTGGGCCCTGGGGGGGGGGGGGGGGAATGCTGTTTGTTGGTCCCTCCCTGCCCCATGGGGGCTGAGTGTGGTGGGGATGGGGAGCGAAAGGGGACTGACAGCCCTAGGGATCCTCCAGCTCAGGCCTCCAGACCCCTCCACAAGAAACTCCCCCCAGCCCTGTTCCCACTCGGCTCCCTGTGCCCACACTAGGAGCCCTGGATGATGTGGCCAGAGGGCAGAAGTCTGCGGGCCAGTGAGCCTTGGGGAAGAAAGTCACCAAAAAGCAGGCCCTGGAGAGTCAGCAAGCCCTCTCCCCGCCTCCTGGCCATCCACACCCCCACGCCTTGTCTTCTTGGGTGGAGACACCAGGATGGTCGGTATCACCTGTCATTTCTGTGGGGAAGACTCGGACTCCCCAAGGAGCCACAGGCTGGCATGTGGGAGACCCAGTCACCTCAAGTGCAAGCTTCCCCCAACCCCACCTCCCTTCACATACACACCAAAGTTCCTTAACCTCTGCCACCCCCTCAATCTGCTAGCCAGCTAATGGCCTGATGGTGTTCTTGGTCACCCGAGTGGAAAACTCTGAGTCACCCCCAACTCCTCCCAGCCCTCCACCCTCCAGTCCAACTAGCTGCCAGACTTTGAATTTGCTTCCTGAACACTCTCAGCCCTCCTGCGCTTTTTGATTCCGAGGCCTCTGCCCTATGGAAGGCCTTGTCACTTCTACCCACGGCTATTGCCACAGCCTCCTGGGCCCCCGACACTGGGCCCCGCCTCCCCCACACAGCCTCAATGCAGCCTCTAAAGAGCACAGCTCTATGGGATCACTGACACCCCCACTCACCCCAAAATGCTTCCATGCCTACCCATGCATCCAAGACAAAACGTGCACTCCCTCAAGCCAGCAGGGGAAGCAGCCTCAGTCCATACCCAGCCCACCCTGCCATCTCAAACCCCATACCCCGCTCCCCAGCTCGCTGCCCTGCGTCCACCTCTGAGCCTCTGCTCTGCTGTTCCCCCTTCCCAGAATGCCCTTCCTCCCCTCTCAGCCTGCCAAGCTTCTATAGGTCCTCGAGGGCCACATTCAAACCCCATCCCCTCAGGGAGATTTTCCCAGATACCCTGCCCCCCGCACAACACTGTCTTCGATATAGACTCCCCACAGCTGTCTTCTTTTTTTATTCTGAAGGGTTTGAAAGCGCTGGAAAAGATGAGCATGCATGTTCCGATCACCGTGATTCACCGTTTGCTAATGTTGTGCTGCTTTTGCCTGCGCTGTTTCTCCGCCTCTGGCCCTACAGAAAGCCCTACAGAAAGCCAGCGGTGATGATCACACGCAGGGAATCCGGCATCAGCACTGTTCTCTAAGATTTCGTTCATATTCGAATTTCCCCTTTGGCCCCATTAACATCCATCATAGCTGGGTCTTTGGTTTTGTTTTGCTCCGGGACTCAGGATCCACCAGGACCCTGCATTACATTTCCTTGCTGGGTTCCCTTCATCTTTCATCTAGACACACTACTCCACCTTTTGATTTCCCTTTTTTGAAGACTCTGGGCTGTTTTGCAGGAGGTCCCTCAGTTTGGATTTGTCTGCTTACTTCCTCAGGATTCCATTTGGGCTGAGCGCTCCCCACCCCCAGGCACCCCCTCCTCCCCTGGTTGCACTTTCCTGGTGCCCCCTCGGAGCCCTCTATGCCATCGGGAGTTCCTGCTCCTTCCTTGCTAGCGAGGTGGCCCCAGGCAAGTGGATTAGCCCCATCTGCCTCACTTTACTAATCGGTTAAATGGGCTGGTAATAGTCACCTCCCACAAGTTGTTCTGAGATAATGCCTGGCCCGTGGTGAGCAGCCCCCAGGCATTACACGTCATCTGTCACTCCTGTGTGCACCAGACTAGCACACAGGGGGCACGCGTCCGCCGGGCCTTCTGTTCCATGTCCCCGTGCCCTGGACCGATGTGATCCCTAAACAAGTCTGAAGGAACAAACTGAGTGGATTTGCTGTCTTGCCTCAGTTTCCCCACGTGTGGTTGTACCCCACGCGCACTGGCCTGCCCTTGGGGAGAGGACACGGGTCACCCCCTTCACCAGCCACAGGTGCTAGCTGAGATGAAACTCTGACTCCGAGTAGCCCCGCTTCTCCGCGGAGGAAGGAGGGCAGGGGGTCACACTGACTGAGCTCCTGCCCTGTGACAGAGAACACGGGGGGCTTGGGAGCCCAGGACTCAGTCCCAGACTCAGTTTCTGGAGCTGGATCATCTCCCCCTTCAGCTTGCTTCTCTCTCCCCTGCTCAGCAACTTCATACACCACGTCCCCACATGCCTGAGCAGCCAGTCGCAGGTCCCTTTTTGTGCCCTAAAGTGAGTCATCTCCTGGGGTGGCAGGGCTCAGAGACGGGACAGGCTGAGCCCCATGCATGGGCCGGTGCCACGGCGAGGGGCTAGCCCAGATTCCCTCACTGACCCCTCACAGTGACAAGGAGCCCGAGGAGCCTGCTCTGGACACACAGGCAGGGCAGGATGGAACAGAGATTCAAATCCAAGTCTGTCTGAGGCAGGGTCCCAAGTCCCTAGCCACTGCACTCCCATGTCACTGACAGTGTGCCAGAGGCCCTGACCGTCCCATCCTCGGCGCCCCTCTGCCCAAAGGCCACCTCCTGGCAGTTTCCCCAGTTCTGTCCATCCACAGTTACCCTTAGCTGCTGCACTTGGACTTCTGAGCTCTCAGCTTCACCCCTGCATTGAATTATACCTCTCCTAATACCTCCCCCTCCTCCAGTCCAGGTGAGGTCCCCCCTTACCTGCCCCCACAGCTTCCGTCTTGGCAACACCCACCTTACTGTAATCATTAGCCCAAGACCTGCAAGCTTCTTGAAGAAAGTAGGCACCCCATAATCGTCCGTGAGATGGATGGACGGGCAGCGGGTGGGTGGGTGCCTGCGTGGCCCAGTGGCTGGACGGTGTCTCCATCACACACAGCACTTCCCTGACACCAGCCGCTACCCCTGGACTGCCGGCCCCCAACTCACCCCCCAACCCTGAGCTCCAACACCCTCCCAGCGCCTACCCTTCCCTGTCTAGGACCACTGAACCCAGAAGCCACGTGGGCCTTGGGCAGGCCCCTTCCCCTCTGTGGGTCCCCTTCACCATGGCCGGAAACTGGAATCACACTGAATCACCTTACAGAATCACACTGAATCTCAAACGAAACTGTTGAAGTTGAGGAACTGTACACAAGGAAGGCACAGAGAGGCTAAGTAACTCGCCTGAGCACACAGCTAATAAGTGGTATCCAGACAGGCTGGCTCCAGAGCCCACGCTCTGACCGTGTGCATCCTGCCTGCAGGGGAGGGCCCTGATTGTTCTCAGGCCTTCGCATCACTCTCCTGATTCTCCTGGCCCCGCACACCCTGCCCTGAAGGATTCCCAGGATGGAGAGCCCTTGATGGGGCACCAGGAGAACCCGGTCTCTACTTCTGCTCTGGCTTGCTTCGTGGCTCTGAAAACATGCCATCAGACAGTAAGAGCTAACATTTCTTAAGCCCTGACTGTGTGAGAGACGCTATTCTAAATGTATGCATCTATTAGCTCATTTAAAACCAAATGACCCTCTAGGTAGGTGGGGAAACTGAGGCACAGAGATGTGAAGCTACTTGCCTAAGGTCTCGCAGCTAGCAACTGGCGGGGTCGGGATCAAAGCCAGCCCACTGCACTTCCTCTGAACACTGCAGAGGAACAGTGAGCTACTTGTCCCTGACCTTGTGCCTCAAACGTCATTCTGAAAACCTCTGCAAAAGGAGGGTTTTATTTCAGACTCCGGTCAGTCTCGTGTAGCCCAGCCTAGGTCCCAAGCCCTACTTATCAGGAGGCCCCGGGTGGGCACAGCCCTCACAAGCAAACAAAACTCCAGAGCCAGCGAGTTCAGGACCAAGAGGTCAGACTGGGGCCTCTGTGGCAGAAACTGTGCCCTGAGAATCTGCGGGCTCATGAGGACCCTTCTGTACAAAACTGTGTGCTTGGCACTGGGAAGAACACCACTCCAGAAAAAAGAACGCTTCATTGTCTGCAGCTGGAAGGGGCCTCTGAGAATACTTTCTCCACTTCTGTGAGGTCCAGAAAAGTCGAGTGACCAGCCTGAGGCCACATGGCTTCCTCAGGGCAGGGCCAAAGCACTTGCCCACCCCACCCCCACCCCGGGTGGCTCTTTCAGCCCCACCTCCCTTGATAAGCTCCTCCCCAGTTCCCGGGAATAGAGTGAGCCCTTCTGGAAGGAAGAGCCTGCAGCTCTAACTCCATCGGCACAACACCAAAGAGCCTCAATTAATGGGCATGTAATTATTTTCTAAATAAACCATGTTTGAATATGTAATAACAGGAGCATCTGATAAGAAAATCAAGTTATGCATAACATGTAGCTATGTTCCTCCACTAATAAAGTGATTTTTATTCCTCGAGCTTATGAAAGCCGTGCACTGCAGATACACTGCTGCTCGGAGAAAGCATCTGTACCTTTCTCTGTCCACACACACAAGCATGCACGCACGCGGGGGCACAAGACCTAGCTCTTCCAGACCATGCCTCAGTTTACCTCCCTGAGGCAGCAGACCCAGATAGTTGTTGGCCTCAGAATACCTGGGCGGTCCTGGGGCAGTCAGGAGCCTCAGGGGCCCCCTCCCACAACAGCCATCCCAGGGAGATCCTCCCCGCACATGAGATCTGGGTTCAGGGGATCCCACGAGCCAAGCAGGAGGTTTCGGAGCGGCAGAAGGACGAGCATCTACTGAGCACCTACTTGTGCCTGGGCACCTGTTCTTTTGACATGCATTATCTCTGTGCTCATCCCCATCACACAAGGTGTGTTTTCTTATTCCCACTTTACAGACCAGGAAACTGAGACTCAGGAAGGGAACTGTTTTACCCAAGGCCCATCTGGTAAATAATGGAACTAAGATTTTAACCTAGCCCTGTCTTGTGTCAAAGTCCGCACACTTCCCACCACCAGCTGCCTCTCAAGGCAGAAGCAGCCCCCTTGGCAAGGTCTCCAGGGCCTCTGTGCTCCCTCTCCATACCTGGTGCCATCCACCCTTCCACTGCCCGCCACATACGCCCCAGTCCTGCCCAGAAGAGAGGAAGGTTGCTGGTAGAGCTGCCTGGGCATCTGTGGGAGCCCTGACAGGGCCAGAACTGTGCCCTCTGTCCAGTCCACACTTCCCCAGACTCTAGCCCCCACCCCCCGGCAATGGCCATCCCCTCTGCCCAGCCCACTCTCACCGGCAAGTGCCCACGGGGCTGGCCCACAGGGCCGGGAGGGACACAGCTGGGAAGGGACCAGAAGAGAGGGCAGGGGAGAGATTTAGAGGCCCCAAAGTGGCAGCATCCACACCTGCCTTTGGTCACCAGCACCGTCTCCCAACTCTCAGAAAGGACAGTAAGGTCGACAGGGCACTCATGCCTAGCTCTCAGCAGCTCCCCTTCACTATCCTACTTTCACCCATGGGGAAACTGAGGGCTGCCCAGGCGAAGTACTTTTCCCATGCTCTCTGAGCCGAAGTGGCCCTTCCCCCATCCACAGGAGCCGGTCACCCCTGGAAATCTAACTGCCATCTGTCCCCCGGCAGGGCTCCCCCGCTGCCCACCTCGATCCTCAGCACTGCAGGCAGGCCTTCCTGAGCTTGTCCAAGGGCGCTGGAAGGGCCCAGAGAGATGAACTTGGCCAAGGATCCCATTTCACAGAAAACCACTGGTGCAGCCTCTGTGCAGGACATTGCGGGCTCTCCCGGTCTACTATTCTGACCCACCCCTGCACCCGAGCCCCACGCTCCACCCAAACCCCCACGTTCCAGCCCCCTCTCCCACCCTTCCCCTCACTGCCCCAAGGATGCCTGGCTGCCCAAGTCTGATCTCCCACAGCTGCCCCCAGCCTGGGCTTGCCTGGGGACTGGCCGGAACAGGGAAAGGGGCAGGAAAGGCCACATCTGGATCCTGGGCCCAGAGCCCCCTCCCCCCAAGCCAGCCATCATTCTCTTTGAGACCAACATGAACCTCAGCCAGGGATGACTTCCTCGCCCTCCTGACCCCTGTGCATGCCTTCACCCAGCCCAGACGTCCGAGAAGCCCCTCTGAGGAAGGGGTCTCCTGCCCCTGCCCCTGCCCCCACCCCTCCTGCGGCAGTCAGGACTCTCCCCGCCCCCCTCTCTCCCAGGAGACTTTTACCCTCATCATGTGGCCCCCAGCCCCTGCCTTCCCACCCCTCAGGCACCCTCACCCCAACACACACCTTCCTAAATCGGGGGGGGGGTGGGGAGCAGAAAAGAAGGGAGAAAGAGGAAGCAGTGTTTTCCTCTTCTGGGCAGGAGGGGAGGGGAGGCAGGAGGGTCTTGGTAAGGATGGGTGGCCTATAGGGGAAGCAATGGTAGTGGGAAGAAGCTGATACTGAGTCTAGAAGGGATCAAAGTAACGGGATCCAAACAGAGGTCTCCACAGCCAGGCTTCCCCAGGTTTCATTTGCTAGGTCAGTGTCTCCTGTCCCCCAGACCCCTAGCACGGCCACCTCCCCAGCTTGGGCTGAGCATCAGAGGGGTGAAGTATTTTCCCCCCAGTGTGGCAGGGCAGGGGGCGGGGGGTGGGGGCGGTGCAGGCAGGAGAGGCTCCCAAAACAAACAAACTTCTTGGTGGCTTCCTTAGACTACAGCTCCTGGACTCAAGTGGAGGCAAGAAAGGTGGGGAGGGGGGATGTCCTGACCCAGAGAACCAGGGCCTAGGCCCTGTTGATGGGGAAGGACTACGGCTGAGGGCCTGCCCTAGTCAGTCTGTCCTTCTGTCAGTCAGCAGGAGGCAGAGAGGCCCTCCGCCTTCACCACCAACACTCCCGCACGCTGGCTCTCTGCCTAAGGATAAGATGTTGTGGAGGGGGGCGGCCCTGCGACCTCTTAGCTAAAGCAGCGAGACCTACCCAGAGCATGCAGGACAGACAGATCCACGTCATCTTCGGCGGGCGCCGTCCCTCGGGCCCAGGCCGGAGCCTGCTCACGGCCCCCCTGAGCTCACAGCCCCCACGGAGCAGGCAGAAGGCAGCTCTGAGAACGAAGGAGCAGTCAGCATCTGCCCGGCAGCTCACCCTGCCTGCCTCCAGCTCACCCTCCCTCCTTTCCTCCTCCCCCCACTCCACCCCCTTGTCCCAGCCTCCTGTCTCCTCCCTCCTCCCAGGCTCCACTGGTGGGGTTGGGGGTCAGAAGCCCTGCTTTGCAGGGGGGTATGAAGGAGACAAGGCAAAGGGACAGCCACTGGATACAGCCCCCACCCCAGGCCATCACTGCCCACCCTGCACCCCCACCCCCACCTCCAAACATACAAGCCCTGTGAGCCACCGAGGCTCCTCCCGCCTTCTGATCTGATGCTGGCAGGCCCGCAGAGCCTACTGTCCTCACTGCAGAACCCCCTCCCCGCCCCCAGACCACTGATGAACAGACAGACACAATCTGTATATCCTGGGGTTCCCTGGCCCCGTCCCATCTCTTGAGTACAGATGCATGCCCTCCTGCCCTGGGAACACACATTTATTTGCACACACTCAGCAACAGGCCTTAACACAAGAAAAACCAGGCCCGAGACTGTGGGAGAATGGCCCTGCCTCCAGGCTGTGGATTTCATTCCAATTTTTTTCCTACTTCTTTTTTTTTTTCCTTCTTTCTTTTCTCCAAACATCTGTCCCAGCCCTTCCTGCCCTTCCTAAAGGGAGCCCCGCTCCAGGCTCCTGCGAGAGTCTGTTTTTCTTGACTGTACCCTGGGCCAACATTTGGTTTGCATTTCCCCACTTCCTCCTCCACAGCCCCTGCCCCCCCTCCCTGGGCCCAGTTTTCACCTCCCACCATTCCACCCGCCTACTTCTCCCCCACAGTGCTCCCCTTCCCCTCCAGCCCTCCCCTGCCCTCTCCCCCACCTTTAGTTCAGGAGTGAGAGTTTGGGGTCCAGAGCAGGGTAAAAAGTAGGGTACAGAATATAAATGTATTCCCAGGGAGCACTGCAAGGGAATCCAGCAAAATCTGCTCAGACCCTCATTGTCTTAATCCGCTCCCACCCCTCCCCCCCCAAGTTTTTCCCCCCATAGTCTTTCCTCTTTGAGCTCTGGCCAAGGCTGGACCAAGTGAGGGTGGGTGGGGCTGTTAAATCACCCGCTCTGCTTTTTGGAGCCTTCCAGGGGAGGGAAAGAGGGCTCAGCCTCACCCCCTTCTGTAGACACACACACCAGGACACACAGTCCAACTCACATAAACACACAAAATGCCGAGGACGGGGCCCCACCCAGAGTAGGCACTTTGAGACCACTTTCCTGGACTGAGCAACATGGCAAGAAAGTCCTCTCGCTTGGCTCCCCTGCACATGCACAAGTGTACGGTGCGTGCCCCTGGCATGTACAAAGGCTTACAGATCCCCTGACTCTCTCCCCCCCTCACCCAAAAGCATGCCCTTGCCACCCTCTGTCAGCACCACATACAGTGCATCCCAAGGGTTCAGCCTCTACAACCGGCCTCTCCCCTCAGCTGGACCTGCCCAGCCAGGTGTGTGGCCTCCCAGACCAACCGAGACATTTACCTGCCTAACTCCAGAAAGAGAGGGATCCCTTCACGCTTCAGCTGGGGAAAGGCTGCCACGTGCGGAAATGCAGGTTGTGCACTGCACAAGGGACTGACACTCTATCTTCTGGTGATTCTGAGAAGTCATGGGAGGACACTGAAGCAAGGTGTCTGATTCTGGTCCTTCCTGGAGCAGATGCCTGTGTTCAGAGTCTTTGTTCTGGTCAAGGAGACAGGGTGAAGAACCAGGGTCCCTTCTCGGGGGCCCCCTTCTCCTTTCTCTCCAAGTCTCTCCAAGTCCTTCTGCAGAGCTATGAAGCTGCAAAAGGTTTTGCCCCTCCACGGCATGCCCTTCAGCATCACGATACCCTTTGATTCCCCCACCCCAGCCACCTCCCTTCCAAGCCTGCTGGGGCTCACTGACAGTTTGGTCGACACTGAATGCACCAGGGTTCCATGCATAGCCGGCCCTGCGACCACCCCTGGGTGGTCCACAGACGGACACTCCTGCACACCCTCCCACCCTCTGCAGACGAGCCACAGGCAAGCGAGGAGGCATGGCTTTCAGGAGGCCCTTGGGAGCCCACCCCCCAGCCATCACCACCAGCCCTTCCAGCCTTCCCACAACTTGGAGGGCTCAGCCAGCTCCAGCCTGACATCCCAGTACCCTGGCCCACTCTTCCTGCTCCCACAGCCCTTTGCTGCTGGCGACACTAGAGGATGCGCCTCCCAACGGCTATCTCAGAAGTTCTGAGAAATCATCTTGCAGCTTCCCAGAAACGCTGGAAAACAAGCCCAAAGACCAAGTCACAATGACACCAACTTGTCTGGCCTCCCACAAAGCCCAAAGGGGCCCCATGGACCTCAAGCCAGC